CAAAAAAAAAAAAAAAAAAAAAAAAAAAAGTGTAAACAATTTACAAATAAAAGGAGAATCTAAAAAGATTAAAATAAAAATAATTTGAAAATAAAAAGAAAAATGAGAAATTTCAAGAATAATAACACCGATTTTTATTTAAAAGAAGTTGAAAGAATAAATGGAATCATTTATTTGTGTGATAAAAAAATTGAATTATATAACAGTAATAAAAAAAAATTTTATAATAAATTATCTATTTTATTAGACTATGAATATTTTTTAAAAAAAAAATATTTTAATTATGAATACAAAATAAATGATTTTAAAAGTAAAATTGTATCTTCACAAAATGGAAATCAGGAAAATATAAATGTCGAAAGTACTTTAAAATCAAATAAAAGAAAAAATGATGATAAAAAAATTAATGAAAAAAATAAATGGAAATTGTTATATTACTTGAAAAATAAAAGTATTAATAATAAGATAAATAAAGATAATGAATTAAAGAAGAAATTATTACCACTAAAAAATATAAAATATAAAAATTCCACATTAAATATTAATAAAAAGAGAGTAAAATTAACTAACTATGACTCATCAAAACAAATAAAATTATGTTTAAAAAAAAAAAAAATTAAGACAATAGGAAAAAAGTTTTGTAATACTGACTTAAAAAAAGGAAATCATAATTTTTCTTTTAATTTAGGAAAATTGAATGTTGAAAATTATGTGAATTTATGTATGAACAAAATCAAGTATATTAAAAATGAAGAAAATAATAATTTTGAGAATAATAGAATCAATAAATATAATTTATCAAACCTCTCTAAAAAAGAAGAAAGAAAAATGAAAATTAAGGAAAAGTATGATAAAAATAACTGTATAGAAAAGGAAGAATTAAATATTACAATGATAAATAAAGATACAAAAGAAAAAAAGATAAATAAAAATTTAGAAAATAAAAAAGATAATAAAAATGAAAAGAAAAAAAATAAGCATACAAATATAAGTCTTATAGATAAAGAGTGTAAAAAGGATAACATAGAATTAACTGAAGATAAAAATATATTAAAGGATATTATTGATGATAAAAAGAATGAAAATTACAGAAACAATAAAAATTACCATAGAAAGAAGTTTAAATTATCCTTTAATAAAATAAATAAAGAAACAAAAAAATGTTATGAGAATAAAATGGGTGATAATTATGAAGAATATAAAAACAAAAATTTAAAAAAAAAAATAGATGAAAATAATAATAATGAAAAAAATGAATTAATAAAAGAAATAGAGGTAAATAAAAGTAATGAATTATTAAAAGAAATAAATACAAATGAAGACAATGAATTACTAGAAGAAATAAAGTTAAATAAAAAGGACAAATTAGAAGAAGAAATAAAGATAAATGGAAATAATGAATTATTAGAAGAAATAATTACAAATGAAAAGGATAAACTAATAGATAATATAAAGATATATAAAAATGGTGAATTAGAAGAAGAAATAAATACAAATAAAAAAGATGAATTAGTAGAAAAAATAGAAATAAAAAATGAAAATGAATTAATAATAGAAACTAATATAAATGAAAAGAGTGAATTAATAAAAGAAATGAATACAAATGAAAAGGATAAATTAGTAGAAAAAATAGAAATAAAAAATGAAAATGAATTAATAATAGAAACAAATATAAATGAAAAGATTGAATTAATAAATGGAACAAATACAAGTGAAAAAGTTAAATTAGTAGATGATAAAAATATAAATAAAAAAGATGAATTAGTAGAAAAAATAGAAATAAAAAATGAAAATGAATTAATAATAGAAACTAATATAAATGAAAAGAGTGAATTAATAAAAGAAATGAATACAAATGAAAAGGATAAATTACTAGAAAATATAAAGATAAATGAAAAAGATGAATTAGTAAAAGAAATAAAGATAAGTGACAAAAATGAATTAATAATAGAAACAAATATAAATGAAAAGAGTGAGTTAATAAAAGAAACGAATACAAATGAAAATAATGAATTACTAGAAGAAATAAAGATAAATGGAAATAATGAATTATTGAAAAAAATGAATACAAATGAAAATAATGAATTAATAAAAACAGAAATAAAAATAAATGAATGTAATTTTAAAAAGAAAAATATAGAAATGAAAGAAAATATTAGTAAAAATCACAAGAGTGATATTAAAAAAAACAAAACCCAAAACGAGAGAAATATTGAAAATGAAAAATCTATTACTAACAATGATATATATTTAAAAGAAATTCCTTCAGAATTTAAATCTATAAAGATTAGGAAAAAAAAAAAAAAAGAAAAAGAAAAGGAAAAAGAAAAAGAAAAAGAAAAAGAAAAGAAAAAAGAAATAGAAAAAGAAAAGGAAAAAGATAAAGAAAAAGAAAAGGAAAAAGATAAAAAAAAAGAAAAGGAAAAAAAAAAAGAACAAAAAACAAAACCAACAAAAAAGAAGGTTGAAGAAAAGGAAAGCAGAATTAGAAAAGGAAAGGAAAAAAACAAAAAGATAAAAGATGAAACAATTTTGCAAAATAAAACTATTGAAAATGAAATTGTTCATGATATTCTTAGTGAATATTCTAATACATTACAATATACAAGTTTTTTAGATTATATAAAAAATAAAAATAATTCAAAATAAAAATAGAAATACTGAGAAAAAAAAAAAAAAAAATAAAATAAACATAATTTAATTTTATTATTATTACTAAAAAAAAAAAAAAATTTTATATTTACATACCTTTATTATCAAAATTAAAAAAAAAAAAAAAAAAAAAAATAATGCTAAATTTTGTTTATATATATATATATGTTTTTTTTTTTTTCAATATAATAGTTTTAAATATATTTAATCTAATATATATATTTTTGAATGTTTTAATATATATTTATGTTCTATAAATTATAGCAAATTAATATTTTAAAATTTTTTTTTTTATGTTACAATTTTAAGTTAATAATTTGGTATTCAAACTATTTATAAGATATTTAATGTTATAAATATTTTTTAATAATTAATTTTTTTTATATATATGTTCAAAAATTAATAATTATATATTTATAAATTTATTTTAATTTAATTTATAGGCTGAATGTATAGAAACAATCCCCATTGTCATAGTAGTATAAGAAATATTTTTAAAATTATTTTGATAAATTAATTGAGATAATTCATCCGGAGTTAAAAATGTTTGAATACTTTCTGCTAAATATTTATAAGAATCTTTATTATTAGCAACTAATTTACCCAATAATGGAATAAAATTATTTAAATAAAATTTATAAAATAAATTTAAAGCATCACAATTTACTTTGCTAAATTCTAAACATAAGAATCTACCACCTGGTTTTAAAACACGATATATTTCTTTTAAGGCAGTTGATATATTAGTAAAATTTCTTATACCGAATGATAAAGTAATTATATCAATAGAATTATCTTCAATAGATTTTAAATTTTCTGCATTTTCAATTAACCAGGTTATATTATCATTATAATTTAATTCTTTTGCTTTTTTCATTCCTACATTAATCATATCACTATTTATATCACATATGATTATATCTGGTATATATTTTTGGTAAAAATTATCAGAAAAATGTTCATTATTTTGTTTTAAATAATATTTGGATTTTTCTAGTATTCTAAAGGCAATATCTCCTGTACCACCAGCTAAATCTAATATTTTACATCTACAAAAAGTGTTCAATTTTTTTTTTTTCTCAAATGATTCTGGATCATTTTCATTGTAATCTGAATTGTTATTTGTTAAATCTTCTGTTAATATTTCTTCATTTAAAAAAGTTTTTCTATTCTTGCATATTTCATGTATATTATAACTATAATATTTTAAAAATATATCTAATTCTTTTACCAACTCATTCTTCCATAAGCGGTGTAAAAGAAAACTCATCAAATCATTCATAACATCATATTTATTAGATACACTACTAAATAAATTATGCACCAATTTTGATTTTATTTCTTCACTTACCTTTTGAAAACCGAAGTTATATAATTCTGAAAAAAAAAAAAAATAAAAAAAAAAAATAAAAATTTATATTTCTCATACAGAAAAAAATTAGTTATTTCTATTAAACGAATTATAAAATGATACGTAATTATTTAAATTGATATACATATATATATATATATATAATTTTATAATTTATAAAAGAAAAATATATAAAATAAAATTTAAAAAGGTAGATTTCTTTTACTTTCACTGTTAAAATGACTATTTTTTGTACTAAATGAATTGGCTTCTATTTTAAAAAGTTTCCCAAAGATATTTTTCTTATTAAAACGTTTATAATCATAATTCAAAATTTTCAAAATTTTCATTTTAGTAATTCATTTATATGAAAAATATAAATAATAAAAAATTTTTAAATATTTTAATTATATTGTATACATATATATATATATTAAAAATAAAGGTTATAAAAAAAAATTTAGCATATAAAATATTTGTTTTTAATATATTTTCACAATTCATAATTATTTTAATGAATTTAAAAAAATATATCAAAAAAAATAATTTTTTATTGTATCTAGTTAAAAATATTAAAAATTTAAAATATTATATTATTTTTTATTTATACACATAATATACAATTTTGTTGAGTTTTTCTTCAATAAAATAGCAAAAAAAAAAAAAAAAAAAAAAAAAAAAAAAAAAAAAAAAAAAAAAAAT